GAGTATGAGGTCTCTGCGAATGGGACTATCTTGGTTCGTGGGCGAGTTTGTGTGCCTAAGGATGTGGAGTTGAGACATCAGATTTTGGGAGAGGCTCATGCGAGCAAGTTTTCCATTCATCCAGGTGCGACCAAGATGTACCATGACCTCAAGAGGTACTATCATTGGGTCGGGATGAAGAGGGATGTAGCAGACTGGGTTGCGAAGTGCAACACTTGTGCCTTGGTGAAGGCAGAGCATCAGGTTCCGGGTGGTCTTTTGCAGAGTTTACCCATTCCAGAGTGGAAGTGGGACAGGATTACGATGGATTTCGTGGTTGGACTACCTGTTTCGAGGACTTTCGATGCTATCTGGGTGATTGTGGATCGGTTGACTAAGTCCGCACATTTCTTGGCCATCAAGAAGACAGATGGAGCTGCTGTCTTGGCTAGGAAGTTTGTGCGAGAGATTGTGAGGCTGCATGGAGTGCCAGCTAGTATTGTGTCAGACCGTGATCCCAGATTCACTTCAGAGTTTTGGAGGGCGTTTCAGGCAGAGATGGGCACTAAGGTGCATCTGAGTACAGCTTATCATCCGCAGACAGATGGTCAGTCAGAGAGGACTATTCAGACTTTGGAGGATTTGCTGAGGATGTGTGTGTTGGATTGGGGTGGCCATTGGGCAGATCACCTGAGCTTAGTTGAGTTTGCATACAACAACAGCTTTCAGGCGAGTATTGGCATGGCTCCATTTGAGGCTTTGTATGGGAGGCCATGTAGGACACCCCTATGCTGGACCCAAGTGGGGGAGCGCAGCATGTATGGAGCTACTTATGTTCAGGAGACGACAGAGAAGGTTCGTGTTGTGAGGCTGAACATGAAGGAGGCTCAGGATAGGCAGAAGAGTTATGCAGATAGACGCAGACGAGAGCTTGAGTTTCAGGTTGGAGATAGAGTTTATCTCAAGATGGCTATGTTGAGGGGTCCTAACAGATCCATAGCAGAGAACAAGCTGAGTCCGCGTTTTATGGGTCCGTTTCCAGTAGTGGAGCGAGTTGGGCCATTGGCTTACAGGCTGGAGTTGCCTGAGATTATGAAAGCCTTTCACAAGGTTTTTCATGTGTCGATGCTGAGGAAGTGTCTTCACCCTACAGAGGAGTTAGTGGCTAGGATTCCAGAGGATCTTCAGCCAGATTTGACAGTGCCGGCAGTGCCTGTGAGGATTTTAGAGAGGAGGGAAAAGGTTCTGAGGAACAAGAGGATTCCCTTACTGAGGATTTTGTGGGATTGCAGTGGTTCTACAGAGGAGACTTGGGAGCCAGAGGCAAAGATGAAGTTGAAGTTCAGGAAGTGGTTCGACAAGCAGGTCGAGGAGTGAGCTTATTTCATCTTTGTAGCCTCAGTTGTTATTTTTGGCTTTGGTGTTATTGTATTTTCGTTTTCGTTGTAACGATATACATTTTGGAGTTTTAATGAGATGCAGTTTTTCCTCATTTTGCCTTGTGTTGTGGTATTCGGATGTTACACATGTTTGACCAGTTTTTGGTTGTGAGACGGTCTAATCTTATGGTTATAGACATTTTGGAATTTTTACTCTAAGGATTGCGATCCTGAATAACTCATCATGTTTTTGGAGACTTCGTTCTCTGGCAGACTCTCTGGGTGCAAGTAGGCCTCAGTTGAGTGTAGCTTATGGGTGCAAGTAGGCCTCAGTATAATCTGGGTGCAAGTGGGCCTCAGTATGGACGTTTTCGGGTTCGTCTGGGTGCAAGTGGGCCTCAGTGCGGACCGGTGTGGACTTGTCTGGGTGCAAGTGGGCCTCAGTACAAGTGTGTTTGGATGATGAGTTAGGAGTGAAATTTTCTTGGAACGTGTTTATGACATAAGATATGACGTTTGTCTCGGGGATCAAGTGAGGATCTCCGGTGTTGCGGCCTTGCGAGGTTGGGTTTTGTGGTCTTTGTGACGTTTGCGTTGGGATTCGAGGACGAATCCAGTTTAGTGGGGAAGAGTTGTAACATCCATAAACCAAAAATAAAAATTGGGAATTTTGTCGGTTGGGTCGGTTTAGTGGAGAAAGCCCTAAAATCAAGTTTAAAGAGTGCAGCCGTCTTCTCTTTGGAGAATTTTCGAGTTCAGATGCTGTAGAGGAGAAAAGTTGAGTTTTTGGAGAGATTTTCGAATTTTACTGTTCATCGGGTTACTGTTCATCGGGTACTGTTCATCGGGTTACTGTTCATCGTCGGATTTCGGCACTGTTCATCGTCCTTCTTTTTCCTTCAGTTTCAATCAATTGTCAAGGTGAGTGCATGACTGTGGGTCCGCGATTTGCTAGATTAGATTTGGTTTGTGGTTGTTCTTGATGAGTTTTTTGTTTAATTGTTATTTCATGATATTTTGGTTGTTTATGTGTGAATTGTGTGTTTGTGTGGTTAATCTGGTTTAATTGAATTTAATTGATTTGATTCTGGTTTATCTTGGTTCAATTGAATTTAATTGTTATATTGGTTTAATTGAATTTAATTGATTTGATTCTGGTTTATCTTGGTTCAATTGAATTTAATTGGTTATATTGGTTTAATTGAATTTAATTGGTTTAATGGAATTAAATAGATTTAATTCGGATTTAATTAATTAAATAATATTTATTTAATTAATTGGTTTAAAATAATTATTTTAATTATTTTAAAATATGAAAATTATTATTTAATTATTGAGAATTATTTAATAATTGAGAAATTGAAGTTTTAATTATTAAAAATTATTTAATTTATTTTAAAGACATTCGCTAGAATTGATTAATATTTATTTAAAAAAAAAAAATGTTGGTTGTTTCAATATCATTCTCGGTTTCTTGTGGTTTCTCTGCTTTTTAAGGTATTGAAACATAATGAGTAATGTGCAGATTACCTTCGGAGCGTTTGAGATGGCAATTCAGTATTATGACTATGCCGATTTCAACATGACCAAGATAAGACCAGTAGAAGTGACAGATTTATTTCTCACACAAATTTATTTTAATCGACATAAACATATATTCAGTTTACAACTGATAATACTCCTAGTATTATCTAATTTATTCTTATATACTTTGGTAAGCATTAGTAAAAATTTATATAATTTGCTTATATTGTGCATATGTTTTGCTTATTTTATTTATTTACTTGTCTAATTTTGGTTGAAAATTTTCAAATTTGCAATTCTTATAACAATTTCTTTTATTATGTTTGTTACACTCAAATTTACGCTGGAGTCTTTTGTTTCCTCGAGACAGAGGCTGTCCAGGTTGTCCAGGTTGTTAAGCGTTTGGGGAGAGTGAGTAACTCATATGGCCAGTTGATGGTTTCTTTGCTCATTCCTGTGACGATTCTGGATGGGTTTTACAATTGACAACATTGCATTATCTCTTATATAAGTGTTTTTTTTGGATTTAATTTTCACTTTATACACATTCACATAAAAAAAGAAAATCAGATCTTATTGCTCTTTCCTTGTTCTCTACGCAAATTCAGATTTTTCTTGGTAAAAAATTAAATCATATATGTAAAAGATTCATAATCACGGAAGATCTAATTCTTCATAGACCTCATATATATTAGTCTAGCCCAGGTTATTAAATTTCAGAAACACAAAATTACAAAATTTTCATCTGGTATTATTATATAAAATTGTTATAGTTATTGTAATTTTGAAATAATAATATTTTTTTTTAAAAAAATAGATAAAAATAAATAAAAATAACAAAAATAGGCAAAATATAAGCAAGTTAGTATATATAAACATATGATTTGATATAATTTAGGCCAATTATCAGGAGTTCCAACACCAACTGCTACCAAATTAATCCTACCAAGTTAATGAGGCGCATGAGATCGCTTTCAAAACCTTCCCAACTTCAATATCAAAAACTAAATTCATCTTCAATCAAGTTCCAACATCCTTTCTGGTTTTAAACAAATTATCTGATATGTTTTCATCAACTTTAACATTATCTTATATACTTTCACTAGTGCTTACTAAAATATATCAGCCATAATTTTGATTTAATACAAAAAAGAAAGCAAGAACCATATGAGCTTTTTAATCAATTATTTGTATTTTGTTTACTGGTACCCTTTTCTTCATGTAATGCAAGTAATACTCTATCTATTTCACAAAGAATGTAAAAATTCTTATAATCTCAATCTCATGTGTTTTTTTTTTATTCTCGGTTCTGTTTTCTGTAAACAAAATTTCTGAATTTGTTTCTTATAGAAAAGCTAAATAAAGTGTTCTTAATCAATTAATTTACCCAAAATGATTATTTTTGTTTGATACATGTGTCTGTCAAAAAAAAAAAATTGTTTGTTTCGTATGTATCTAAATGAAACTAATCTTTAATTAATAATCTACCAAAAATGACAACATTTGTACTTCATACATTGTCAAATGATATCTAAATTGTTGATTTATTTTGCAACGTAACCGCTAATAAACAGGTTTTCACCACTCATTCACTCAGTCTGAGAAATAACCGGATTTCTCAGGACTAGTGATAACCGGTTCTAAATCCAAGACTGACATTGAAACCGGTTCTAGATGCATCATTCATTCAAGCTTGGTTTAGGTGGTTCGCCGGGAAAGTTGAAGCTTCCCCCAGATCACTTCCTTCGACTCTCTTTCTCTCCGATTACTTCCCGGGAACCGATTCGGAAAAAAGATATCTACACTCTTATTCTCCGATTACTGCCTTCGACGAGGCTACCAAAGGTTTGTCCTTTTACACTCTCTCTGTATCTACTCTTTTTAGATTTAGTTTTTTTTTTGGCTTCAGGGTTTGTCTTGTTGATTTGGGTTTGTTCCGAACAAAATTTGTATGTTTTCCGGTGATCGGAGTTTGTTCTGAGTCCTCCGAAACCTTTAAAGCTATATCATTTACAGCAAAAGTTAACACTTTCAAATCCTTTTGTTGCAGAGTGTGTCTCTTCGTCCTTTCAACGATTTGAGTATATTGGAAGCCGTTTCAGAAGCAGAATTGAGAAAATGAGGAGATTGTATAATAATACCATAACAGCCAAGGGATCCAATCTCCGGCAAATTCTGGAGAGAGGTAATCCTGGAAGTGTTTCTCCTTCGTCTAGTCTTTGTGGTTTCCGTTGCCGGGAACGAGCTTTATCTGGTCTCAGTTATGATTACAGAGAGAAATTGAGAAATGGGTTACTCCAGGATTTGAAGTTAGAGGATGCCGTTGATTTGTTCAGTGAAATGGCACAGTCTCGCCCTTTTCCTTCAATTGTTGATTTCAATAAATTGTTGACTGCAATTGCAAAGATGAAGAAGTATGGTGTCGTGATATCTCTGGGCGAGCAGATGCAAAAGCTGGGAATTTCACATAATCTGTATACTTTCAATATTTTGATTAACTGTTTCTGCCGCTCCTCTCGACTCTCTCTTGCTTTAGCTCTTCTTGGGAAGATGATGAAACTTGGATATGAGCCCAGCATTGTCACGCTTTCTACGCTTCTCAATGGATACTGTCACGGGAATAGGATCTCGGATGCGGTCTCTCTGCTTGATCAAATGGTGGAAATGGGTATAAACCTAACATAGTGACATTTACAACTCTAATCCATGGACTCTTTCTCCACAACAAAGCCTCTGAAGCCGTGTCTTTAGTTGAAAGAATGATTGCGAAAGGATGTCAACCAGATGAGCTTACTTATGGTGCGTTGGTAAATGGAGTGTGCAAGAGAGGTGACACTGACTTGGCTTAAAGCTTCTCAAGAAGATGGAAGCAGAGAAATTAGAGCCAGATGTTGTCATCTACAACACAGTCATTGATGGTCTCTGCAAATACAGGCATCCGGATGATGCACTCGACCTATTCAATGAAATGGAGAACAAAGGTATTAGACCAAATGTTGTTACCTACAACTCCCTAATAAGCTGCCTTTGTAATTACGGAAGATGGGAAGATGCTGCTGGTTTACTAGTGATATGATTGAGAGGAAAATCAACCCCGATGTATTTACGTTCAATGCTTTGATCGATGCGTTTGTGAAAGAGGGGAAGCTTTTGGAAGCTGAAAAATTGTACGAGGAGATGATCAAAAGGTCTATAGCTCCTGATATTGTCACTTACAATTCACTGATCAATGGGTTTTGCATGCAGAGTCGCCTAGACGAGGCCAAGCAGATGTTTGAGATGGTTAGCAAAGGTTGTCTCCCAGACGTAGTGACATATAATACTCTGATAAATGGATTTTGCAAGTCTAAGAGGGTAGAGATGGCATGGAACTCTTTCGTGAGATGTCTCAAAGAGGATTGGTTGGAGACACAGTCACTTACACACTCTTATCCAAGGTTTTTCCAAGCTGGAGATTGTGAGAGTGCCCAACAAGTTTTCAAACAGATGGTTTCTGCTGATGTGCCTCCTGATATTTGGACATACAACATTTTGTTAGATGGGCTTTGTAAAAACGGGAAGCTAGAGAAGCATTGGTCATATTCCAGGATATGCAAAAGAGTGAATGGAACTTAATATTTCACTATATATTATCATTGAAGGGATGTGCAAGGCTGGGAAGGTGGAAGATGCGTGGAAGTTATTTGTTGCCTCGACCTTAAAGGAGTGAAGCCTGATGTTGTAACATACACTGCAATGATCTCAGGATTCTGTAGAAAGGTTTAAAGGAGGAAGCAAGTGCCTTGTTCAGGAAAATGAAAGAAGAGGTCCTCTCCCAAATAGCGGTACTTACAATACGCTAATCCGGGCACACCTTAGAGATGGTGACAAAGCCGCATCAGCAGAACTCATCAACGAAATGAGAGCTGCGGGTTTGCTGCAGATGCTTCAACCTTTGGCTTGGTCACTCAAATGTTGTCTGATGGGAGATTGAACAAAAGCTTCCTATATGCTTTCTTAAAGCACCGTTTGAGGTTAATTAGCTTTCTTATGTTGCTTTTCTTCTAATTACTTCTGAATACACTTCTTATGTTCCCATGTTGTATATGGATTATGGACTGAGACTTTGATAAAATCCAATATGGCTTTTTTCACCCTCGAGTCTGTTTTCCTTTTATCAGTGGTTTCTTTTCATATCAGTATCAGTGTCATATGCAGAATGTATAATCATTTTGACTAGATATGCAAGTTTCATCAATCTACTTATTTTGCTGCGAGGTTTTAATAATCCGTTTTGACTAGAGTTCTATCTTATTCATAGCTGTGAGGTGAATCAATTATGTTGCTGCTATTCCTGTGACAACATTTTAGCATCTGTTACTCTGTTGCTGTTTTATTTTTCCTTTCTTTCTCAACTCTATGAATTTGACGACTTTATTACTGTTCAGGTAGGTTTCAGACCAGAGTTGATCCAAACACTGACAAGATCAGAGGTCAGAAGTCAAAGAAGCCCCCTTCAAGAAGAAATATTTAGTTCTCTACGAATTCAAACACTATGGGCAGATTATATCAGAAGCAAGGGTAACACTGGTCCTGCTGAGCTTACTGATAGAGCAGCAATAGCAAGATCTTCAGAATCCGCAGGATTGGGATTGAATGGTAACGTGCAGGTTTTGTGGTTGGTGCCACAGGGAAATTACAGGGAGCTGGATACAAAGCTTCTAGTACAAGCTCTCCTTGAACCAGATTTGCATAGACTCAACGCTTGGGAAGATTACACAAGGGTAATGACTGAACCAGTGTTGAAGAAATGGGGACAGAAAAGAGATAAGTTTGACAAGCAGGACCATTAACTTTCATCTCCAGATCAGATTTCTGATGCTTCTCGTGAACTTGTAGCAGATACCGTGCTTCAGTCGAGCAGAACTTATAGTTACAATTCGCTTCCCCCACAAGAGAAATTGGCTGCTGTTAGAAATCCAGACTCATTGCAAAAGACAATGGCTGCAGCAAGCCTTGAACCTGCGTATACAGTGGGTACAATGGTATCTCTGTTTGGGTTAGTGTTTTGGATACAGAAAAGGGAGATACAAAGATTGGGGAAGTTGCTGCGCTTACACAAAATTACAACTGATTCCTTTGTTCATCTTTGGCTTACATTGATCCATGTCAATGGGTGAGCTCTTTAATGATGGGAATATGGAAATGACTAGTTGACTACTCAAAAGTTCGAAGTAGGTTAAGGATGATGAGTGGAAAATAGCTTGGAAATATAGAGCTGCATTTGGAACAAGAAGTTTGAGCTTGATTCTAGGATTCAAAAGCTTTGAAATGTTTGCTTGGTTCTGTTAGGGAGAAGAAGAATGCGAGATTGGCTGGTGTTAACTGAACTTCTGAACCACAATCATTGGAAAAGGAGACAATACATTACAGTCTACAAAAGACAATGGTTAAATCTGTCACAATACATTATTGTGACAAGAGATCCGTCCTGATCTTGTTCCTTCTTTGGTGTATGTTGGTAGAGAGCAAGCTCATCGTGTCATTGTATCATGCATTTGTTGAGCCTGCTAATCTCCTCATGGATTCATGGTCGTTTTCAGAAAATCTGAGGGAACAAGTCTATTGTCTCAGGTGGAGTAAGCGAGGTTACTGGTTATTTTTTGACAAGAAGATTGCAGAAAATTTGAAGCTAGTTTGTAAGTGGCTGATCATTGAGGTGAAAGGAGCTTCCTGCAGTTTATTGTCTCTGCGTGTAGCTATTTGTTCTTGTGAATATGAGATTCTACAGGCGGTGGATCGTAGAGAAGATTAAGCTACAAGACTGCTATTTTCAGAGGGAATGCAGTGAAGTTTGCAAGTCTGTTGCTTGGTGTAAGCTGGGCGATGCATGAGCTCTTGTATCAAGAAGTGTAAGTTTTTTGACAAGGTGGCAATAGCAAAGTTTCAAGCTATTTTCTGCAGGTTTGTGTTTGGTTCAACACATGTTAACTCTGCTGGAATGAATCTGAGAAAACAAGGAGTTCTTTAGCAATGCTTTCTCAGAAAAATTGGGTTTTCTCAAGAAGAGTTGCAGGTTTTTTTCTGAAAATTTTCAGAGAAGGCACTAATGTGGGAGTTGAGATGATTTTATTGAAGTGGTTTTCTAAAGAAGGAGCTTGGAGTGTTACAGAAATTGTCTCAAGGTTGTTCACTTTCAAGAAGGTGAAGCTGTTGTGTATCTAGTATGATAAACAACTCATCTCAAGGCTGGTTTAAGCAACTCATGTTGGTCTGTTGTTTCTTGTGATAAGGACCTCTCTTGATCATGTTTCTTTTGTGGCATGTTCTAGCACTTATTGTTGTTTTGCTCATGATATGCTTCCTAAATCTACAAATGCTGATGGTTTGAGTCCGGTTTTAGATAAGGAAATTCAAGATATTGAAATTAATTAACTGTAACCTGTCTAATTAAGTTCATCATATTACTGCATTATGTGAAAAAGTAATGTGAAAAAGAATGTTCGAGTAAAATTAATTAATGCCCATAGAGACAATGAGACAATTCAGTACAGTCAATTGTGGCTACTTCACTCGTTAAACCAAAATTAAATGAACCGGTTTCGGGATCCGTGTAATCGAACCGGTTCTGATTCATTTTATATTTACGTTCTCTGCTTTTAGGTCCGATGAGTTTAATCTTAACCGGTAAATGTGCGAATCAAATTTAACCGGTCAATGTACCAAGTAATTAATAAGCATTCGTTTTGGTTTAGTTCGAGTGAGCTCACGCTTTTTCCACTTCACTCCTCTCAGTTTTGAGATCGAAAAGGAAAAAGCAAAATCTGGGGAAAATGTTGGCTAGGGTTTGGAGATCGACGTTTTCTTCTTCTTCTTCTTCTTCTTCTGCTTGTGCTGCGAGATTGATCAGTCCGAGGTTGATTCATGGTTGTGCCGCCGAGAAGAGTGTACCGTCTTTGAGCGAAGGAACTTTCCGAGGAGAGCATTTGAAACTGAAATCTGGGTTTCATGACATCAAAGGCTTAGATGATGCGATCGATTTGTTCGACGAAATGATATACTCTCGTCCCCTCCCTTCCGACTAAATGACAAAATGGAACGTCCCGATGTCGTGACAGTCACCACACTGATGAATGGTCTTTGCCGCGATGGCCGAGTTCCGGGAGCAGCAGTTTTGCTTGATCGGATGGTTGAAATGGGATGTGCACCGAACGTCATCACATTCAGCACATTAATGAATGGTCTCTGTCTCGAAGGTCGAGTTCAGGAAGCAGTAGCTCTGGTCAATAAGATGGTAGAGAAAGGTCTTGAGCCTAACATTGTTACTTTCGGAACAATTGTAAACGGAATGGGGACATTTAACGTGGTTAGTAGTAGATTGATTCACTTTTTGCTTTGTCTTCTGTAGTTTACACGTCAGCGATGGTAACTTAATCGTAATCATTTTTAACATGACTTGATGGCTCTGTTTTGAATAGCTTGTACTGAAAATTTGATAGCTTTACGCACTGAACAAGAATCATTATTGTCTTATAAGAAGTTTGTAACTTTATTCAGTCATGGAGCTTGTTTCCAGTTTCAGTTTGATTTGGAGAATTTCTTGATAAAGGTCGTGAAGAATAGCTATAGTTTTCTTTAAAAGGTTAACAGAATCTAATGATGCACTGGATAGTTTGGCATGATAGGCAAGACAAAACTGTGATGGTTTAGATTGAGCTTTTTCATTTTCAATCAAAGATGGTTCAGATTTAGAATCTTCATGTAGATATTAAGACTCGAGAGTCCTCTCCTGTTCGAGGAATGAAGAAAAGACACTTTCCCACTTGCAACGTTTCAGATTAGGAGGGTCACAAGTTAACAAGTAATCTGCCTTTTGTCTTATTGTCTTGTTTAACCCGACGAGTCTGTTTGGATTTTGCTGAAAATTTTGAGGAAATATATATAGGGGGGCCATTCTCTTATTAAGATCGATGTTGTTTCAAGTGAGATCTACTCTGTGACTTGAGCTTACTGCTGTTTTTAAGTGGAATGTTTTTGGATATAACGTTGTCTTGATGTTTGGTTTGATGTTTCTTGTGATGGGTTCCTATATTGATCTTGTTCCTTCTATGGCATGTTCTAGTCTTTTATTCGTTATTTGCTTATTTTACTTACTATAATACCTCTGATTATACCTCTGATTGGTTTGATCTGTTTGTTTTGCAGGACCATCAGTTGTGTAGGATGAATTAAAAAAACGATGGAGGTTTTTTCAGATTTTTATAACACTAGAAGTACTGTAATTAGAGATAGTTCACACTTTTACACTCTAGGAGAATGGACATGTACCAAATGACTGTATGAGCAACAAACAAAAGTTGATTGTATGAACAGTTAATCAAAAGTGAATACAAATCTTGCCTTAACTCTGTTTTGAACAACTTGGCTAATTTGTTCTCTTGTACTCAAAAGTTTGTAGCTTTTAGTTATGGAATAGATGTCAAAAATTGTTTCCGGTTTGTTTTGGATAACAACATCTCTTTGCACTTACTTCAGGCATGAACGAATTGATTTAATTTAAAAAGATTTAACTCTGAATCTTGATGAACGTGGATGAAAAATAAACCGTGGATTTGATTACACGACACAGTAACTAATCTAAGCCACACCATAACCTACTTTTACATCATGACATCTCCTCACATATTTACTTAAAGAAGAATCTATCTTCGCTCTATAACTAAAGCTATCTAATTTCCAATACACAAAGACATCATGACATCTCCTCACATATTTACTTAAAAATTTTATTTACTAACAATAGGCCAGAAAAAAAATAACAAAAATAAGCAAAATATTTGCACAATATAAAAATATTATAAGCAAAATATAAGCAAATTTCCTTACATATAGTCTATAGATGACATATGATGTATGATGTATGCTCAGTCCTAATAATGTCCTATACTTAAAAAGCAATGTACCTACTCAAATCGTTCCAAAGAATCATGAAACTAAAGGTCTTTATCCTTCTCGGCCAACCACTCGCATCATCTCTACTTATTATAAGTTCTCCGAGATTGCAGACTCCCAAGACAGCGAACTCCTTGGTACAACAAACGGCACCGCTATTGAGGAATGTTGCTCCAATTCTTCCCAAGTCTTCTCGCTCAAAAAAAATCGTTTCCACCAATCCCGTATTGGACTGTGTTGCGTTTTGTTTCCTCGCAGACGCCAAAGTTCTCACAAATGAAACATTGTCGAACCTGAAACACAACCAGACAGTAATACCCTGTGTTCAAAACATTGGTTATCGTTAATCATGCGGTCGGGTTGGGATTTGAGATTTTTTTGAAGGACGAGGATTAAACGGGGATGAAATTTTGAATATATTTTATATATTTTTCAAACATTTTCATATATGTAAGTATGTAACTCAATAACACATATTGAATCAACATGATCACATTCCAAAAGATTATATATTATTATTTTGTCAATTCACTTCTATTACAAAAGATTAAATTTAGATAGTTTCATTCACAATAGAAACCATCTTGATCAATTCAAAACATACAAAAGATATAATAAAAGGATTGTAGTTCTTCACTGATCAAGTAATTAAGGTGCAATGGAATAGTAAACTTAGATGTGTTAGATCAAGACAATATTCACTTATTAACATGAAACAAATGTAAAAAGCTGTGTTAAAAATTGAAGTTATATACAAAACCAAAACAGATAAAAGATAGATTCATACGACATATACACAAGCTTTTCTGTGGCCGTTAAAAAATATTTGTCAAAAACGACGTTGCTGCACTTCTTATTGGGCCCATTTTTTTGGCAATAAAGCCCATATGATCAAACAAACTCCACGCCGTTTTTGTAAAAAGAGCGTTGACATGGTCAACTTTCATTTCACCAGAAAATTGGAACTATTGTAAATGTTATGTGTAAGATAGGTGACACTGCGTCCGCCTTGAATCTGCTTAGGAAGGTGGAGGAAAGCAACATCAAAGCCACTGTTGTCATCTATAATTCCATCATTGATCGGACGTCATAGTGATGCTGAGAATCTTTTCAGTGAAATGATTCAGAGAAAGGAATGGCGCCAAATGTTCTAACCTACAACTTTGTATGATAGACGGTTGTTGTAGCTCTGGTAGATAGAGTGATGATATACGATTGCTGCGTGATATGATTAAAAGGGAAATCACTCCTGATGTTGTCACCATTCAGTGCATTGATCAATGCATATGCAAGGGAAGGGAAGTTCCCTGAGGATATGGTTTGTGTGTATGTATTAGATGTAAATGGGGACAATTCTTGCAAAGGATATGGTTTCTAGCTTCTACTTTCGATAGAATGTTAAAGTTTTGCTGTGTGGTTACTTGAGCTTAGGATTTCTCGTTACCGAGCTGTTGATGTTGTTATAGAGTAGTGTTGTTGCTTAGATGGAGTATATATTGAGAACATCAGGATATGATGAGAAGTATTTAACCAAACGATTTGATTTGCTGGTTTATCAAACACATTTGTTTTTGTGCTCCAAATTTTGAGGGAATATATAGGAAACCATTGTGTTACTAAGATCGATGTTGTTTCAAGTGAGATCTATAATGCCATCATGATGCCAAGGTACATGCGGTTTCTGGACCCTCACAAGTTCATAGATTGTTGAAGTGCAGTAATCTTTTGCATTGGTAATAGACAAGTTTGGGTTCTTACTTGTGCCTCTGATCTCGCAGGAGGTAATCTCCAGGCTCTAGTTCCTAGCTGCTGGACCTAACATAGCCTCTTTCTCCATTCCCTACGGAGATTGCAATACACAAGAGTCTCTAGTGGTCCTGCAGGGCGGCTTCCTTTGTGGTAATTAACCCATCAGCTGTTTTGTTCCTTGCAGAACCAGAAGAGAATGGTCGTGTCTGTTGAAACCATAATCATATCTCTAAACCAGAATCACATTTACATAAGTTAGAACCAACATTTACATTTGATAGTTACTTGACAGTTACTCAAGTGGTGTCTTTTAGGTTAAGAGGTGTTGGTTTCTGTAAGTCACAATGAAGAGACACAACTCTTAGTTGTGTGTTGTCTTAGTATATAACCATGTAACACGTGATGTAACCACACAGCAAGTTTCATATCAATAAAATCATTCCTCGTTTAACATTCTTCTTCTTCATAAGAGAAGAGACAAACTCTTGTCTCTTGCTCTGTTTTGTCTTTTTTCTTCTTACTCTGTTTTCGTAAACTAAATTCAACAGTGTCAAGACCTGGAGCGTGCTTATGATCAAAATAGCAATCGTCTCGAGATAGATTTGTGTATGAAAAAACAATATTTAGTGGTGTAAATCAATAATGTCTTATTTTAGTTTGACCGGAAATTAATGGGAGTATGGTGGATACTGCTTATGTTTCTCTTCATGTAGCATATCATGCTTCCTGAGGTCGAGGCTATGTAGCTTTGCATACTGTGTATTGGAGAACATGTTATCTATAAGTTGTGACCAGATTTTGTTCATGTGTTTTGGATTTTGTTCAGCTTGTGTGTTAAAGAGGTTCTAGAAAACAGCCACATCATTGTCTCTGATCTTGTTATGGCCAAACGTGTGTGGGAATTTTAACTATCAAAGCTCATATAAAGGGTTCACAAAATCAGTTGTGAGGGAATATGCACAAGAGTTCTCTCATGCTGAGATAGGATTTCAGAATGAAGGAGTTACAAAACTGTTTCTTCGAGATGAAACATTGGTCTTTTTAACAGTAAACAAATAAGATTAACAGTACAAGAACTTTGATCTGACAATAAATTACTCAGTGAGAAGATCATATCCGACAACTAGAAAACATAATAAACATTTCTAATATCATACCACAATCAACAAAACATATAAACCTAGACACTTAGGGCATCTCCAACAAGCCCTCAAAATTTGAGGGGAGCAAAACCTCATTTTAAGGATTTGAGGGTAGTTTGCTCCAACAATGAATCCTCAAAAAAATCTTTAAAAGTTGTTTAATTTGCAATATAGTCCTTAATATTAACAAACATTACTAATGATAATAAAAATTCATAAATAAATTTAAAACACATTTGATATATAATTATTTATTATACTATTAGACAACACACCATATTTCACAATAATAGTGATATAATAATAAAAATTACATATATAATAATGTAAAATATGAAATATTTTGGTACTATTTGTAAAATATGTAATATTTATGTGTTATGTAATTTGCTTTAATTTGTGTTAAGTTTCTTTAATCTATTTTTTATTTTTGTGTAAACTTTTTAAATGTATTTTCTTTTGAGTGAACTTTGGTTTTTAGGTAACATTTATTCTATTTTATTTTTATATGTTTAATTTTGTTCAAACTAAAGTTTAGTATAACTAATTGTGAAAAACCATAAATATAAGGACCAAATAGAAAGAGAAAATAAGTTTTGAGGTTTTGAATAGTGAAACCTCAAATTTAAGGTTTCACTATTCAAAACCTCAAAATTTGAGGATTTGAGGGTTTGTTGGAATGCTCAAAACCTCAAAATTTGAGGATTTGAGGGCTTGTTGGAGATGCCCTTAGCAACCATATATCCTTGCTATAATGCAAGGTAACCATTCATCCTTAGGTTCAGTCATCCTCGTGATAACTTTATAAACCTCATGCTTGGAGGCAGCTGTAGCTCATACACTCCCATACCAGGCTCGTCAGCCGTTCATGACCTGCATGTAACCTGTCGGCCCATCACAGTCCAGTTTCGAGGGAAGACCACGGCCCGTAGCTCGATTCTTCCTCTCTTATTCATACATACATATCATACCATATCATATCATACATACCATGCAATCATATCATCATATCAGGTTATATTATACCATATTATACTCATTCATATTTCATATCAATATTATCATAGAGCATATCATTATAGAACTTAACTCTAGCAAGAAGATCTAAGCTTACATGCCATGAATCATGTAACATAACAAAAGAAATATAAAGTATGCTTCCACAGATCACACCCTCACCTTAGCCACTTCATGTCGAAGGCAAAACATATTTCCTCCTTTCTTCTCCTTTGGACAGATTCTCAGTCTCAGCTTTAACATCATGTTTCTCCATGCTTCTTAACTCCAAACCGGTTCTACTTCTACTGGGACGTAGATACTTGAGTCTAGTAAGCTCCTGCCATGAATGATCTCAATCCGAGCTCATATGCCCAACCAAACATTACAAGTCGTCAGACATATCACACTGCTTCTCACTGTGCCAAACAGGTTCGGAAAGACACGCATAAATAACAAACTGACCGTTACCTTCTGAATCCCACCGTTGATTATGAACTTGAATATATCCCCATGCCAGATTACAAATATCAGCTCGATCGGACTTCATTTAAACCTCCAAACGATCACTTCAAAATTATGCAGCGAAACTGTTTTTCTGGAAAACTCAGACTTAGATGATTTCGGTCCAACTTGCATTGCGATTTGCAGATGAGTTGTAACTTCAATTGATGAACCGTTTTCTCTCGTGAAATCTCCAAAACGTTCTCTTTCCAGAGACATCTCATTCGTAGTCTAAATCATTTTCCTCCGGTCGTAATAGTCCTCCAAAGTATGCTTCACACACACTGTTTTCTTGAGAATAAATTGCAGGTTTGTCAGCAATTTCTTGGCCAAGAAGCAACGCCTCTAAAATGCACCTCTGGTAGAACTAGGGTTCCTACTTGACTCCTCTGTACTCCTGTGTTACTTGTGGTCATGCTTAACCCATCGCTTCACCAAACAAGCTCTCTCTCTTCCAACGACGAGTGTCTAAAGTTGACTCCTTCTCACTATCTTTGTGTTGCACCTCCAGAATCTTGAATCATGGTCGGGTCTGATTTGTCAACGCCAAAACCCTTGTCGTCTTGTGATTGTGGAATACTTGGGCTTCTATTATTTGTTTTAGGCCTTTAGCAATATGACAAATGTTCAAATGGATCTCAATTTTTGGGTTTACCGGGATAGGGGTGTTACAAATGTTTTTGGATATAACGTTGTCTTGATGTTTGGTTTGTGGGTTCCTATATTGATCTAGTTCCTTCTATGAAATGTTCTAGTCACTTATTGTTTATTTGCTTATTTTACTTACTATAATACCTCTGATTGGTTTGATCTGTTTGTTTTGCAGGACCATCAGTTGTGTAGGATGATTGAATGAATAAAAGATGGGAGGTTTTTTTCAGATTTTTATAACACTTACAAGTTACAAGAATTGTAATTAGAGATAGCTCAAGTTCAGATTTCTCCGGGTTGAGATTGAAGCTATTTTTAAATCGAGAAAATTCATCACTAGTAAAGCAAGTCGTAGGAGAATCCAGAAATTGTGTCACTGATTCATGCATATGTTTAGTCTACTAATTTCCACAAGGTTGCTAATATGTTTGTCTAATTACTTCACTTGACCACAATCCAGAAACCAGCCGGTTTGAAACTCATATGGCTGTCTCAAATTTGGGTCCGATTTCAATTTCTTCATCTAAACCGGTCAATGTAATGTACAAATCAAATTGAACCGCTAAATGTACCAACCAATTAATGAAACCGGTCGTTTCTGATTCATTTTCTGCTGCTACTCTAGTCACTTACACTCCAGGAGAATGGACATGTACCAAATGACTCTGTTTCCATTACACAAAGACATCATGACATCTCCTCACATATTTACTTAAAAATTTTATTTACTAACAATAGGCCAGAAAAAAAATAACAAAAATAAGCAAAATATTTGCATAATATAAAAATATTATAAGCAAAAATATAAGCAAAATATAAGCAAATTTTCTTACATATAGATGACATGTGATGTATGATGCATGCTCAGCCCTATACTTAAACTTATAATTTTAGTTAACCTCAAAAAGCAGAGAAACCAAATGAATCCAAGAATGATATAAACTACTGACATCACGCCGATGAAGGTGAGCAATGGAGCGTCTTTTGCCGACAAGTAACCTCCAGGACTCCTCCACATTGATCTTCCTGTCACTGTGGTACCCTCCAAATCCTTGTCGCATATCAGAAAGTAAATGTCGTATAGACCAGTCTTGTTCACAATGACTGTCTCAGGCAACATTTTCGCCTCTATACTGTTTCCGCGCAGACTCCAATGTTCTCACAAACGTAACGTTGTCGAACGTGAAACACAACAGACAGTAACATCTAGACAACATCAGCTACAGAGCTATTACATATTATATCAACAATCACTACTCAATTTTGTCCTAACGACCAAACACAACAGAGTCTAATAGTCTATCAACATCCTAACGACCAAACACAACAGTCTAATAGTCTATCAACATCTAATAGCTAGTTACCGGATGTAGGCGGGATCATCCGCCGTTGAAGCGTGTACAGCCTCACTCCCGCCGTGGAAGTAGCGGGAATTCGTGCCTGCAGTGAACTCCTCGTTCCTGTAGAGCTGAATGGAAGCTTCTGAAAATCCGAAGCTCAAAGTCACCAAGACAACTAAGAAGAGATGTTCCATGTAGTGGTTTAAGCTTGCTCCTATATCAACTCATAACAAAGCTGATCAGGTCATAACTTAGCAACACTAAAAGGCTCTCGCTTTGAGAAAATGAATTCACAAATAACAGAGAATGGACAAAGAGAAAAATGAATTCATGGAAACTCAATTCACTAGAGTTTTGTATACACAACAATTTGCTTGGTTCTACTCATTCACATATTTACTTAAATTTTTTATTTACTAACAATAGGCCAGGAAAAAAATAACAAAAATAAGCAAAATATTTGCACAATATAAAATTATTATAAGCAAAATATAAGCAAATTTTCTTACATATAGATGACATATGATGTATGCTCAGTCCTATACTTAGAAAATCTTAAGCTGTGTTGAAATTGGGGTTACTTAGAGCTGCATGAGCTTATGATGCAATTTGATGCTTATGATGAAATCTGATCTGATTTGATGCAATTTGTTATTCTTGTTTTTTCCATTTGATAATTTTTGTAGTTAAATAATTTTATGTAGTTCACAGTGAAATCAAAGTGGAAAATGTCTAGGCCATTAAGATCATAAAACAATATAAACAAAATAACACAACCATCAAAAGTATATGCACTATACAGCTGTGTTTTGGTACCATATACGAAAAGCATCAAAACATTTGAACGCGGAGCTTCTGTTGAAAGCGTAATCCTTTGTCAATGATTACGTTAGAACATGATGATTAAACAAAACATCTTTCTCAACAAATAAAGCAAAAGTTTTTATTTTAATTTTCAAAAGTACTATCTAATCTCTATATCCCGGGATAAACAAAAGAAATAAGAAATGACAAGTGACAAAATTGATTACTTTGTGGTTCCCCACAGTTTATACAAAGTTCCAAAATTTTCCTCCCTTCTTCCCAGATTTTACACATATTTCTCCACATTTTCTAATTTTTCACAAACAACCCCAAGAAAAAAGAAAACACATATTTTGTTCAAGTTTCAAAGAGATAGCTTTAAGTTTTGAATCTCACACACATCCCCAAAAAAACAGAGAACTCATTCATCATCTCTTGAGCTGAATATCCATTTTGCTCTTCTCTATCTTCTCCATTATGGATCCTACAATAACAAACATACAATTTTCTCAAGACCCATTTAGCATAATGAAGAACAAAAAAGCCACAAACTTTTTAACTCACCAGGAGGATAACAAACAGGAGGATCTTCAAAGAGAGAACGAGAAATTTGTTTATGAGCAACACCGATATCGAACAGAACAAGTCCAGAAGAAGGATCTTTCACTGCAATGCCTTTAACGGGTAACCAAAGAAAAAGCTCTTCTTGCGTCAAACCTTCAAGCCCAACAAGGCCACCATAGCTTAGATTAGCTCTGATCACACTATCAAAGTATACTCTGTTTTCGAACCTAGCAAAACAAGGATTCTGTAGCTTAACTTGGAGCTCCCCTGTCTTCTCGTCTAGATTGTAACTCTCTACGTTGTCCGGAAACAAACCACCTGGTAAACCACGAGCTTCGAGGAGGTTTCGGATGGACGCTTGTGAAGATGGAGTTATGAAATGGATAAGAAGAAGAAGAAGAAGAAGAAGAAGCAGAGACATTTTCTTTCTTTCTTTTTGGATGTTGAGATTTGTGTTTTTGAAGAGTTTGATGTTTGGTGCTCTGTTTTTGTCAAAAGAGTGGAGAAATGAGTTGGCTTTTTCAGCTGATGAGCTGGTTCGCAATGAGCTGTGGTTTGTGAATTTATGATTGTTCAAAAATATATATTAAAATAAATTTTGTACCATGTTATGATTTGAAAAAAAAAACAATACTACTTAATTGAATAATATTATTAGATGTATAGTCTTACTATTTGAAATTATAGTCTTTTGCCCTTAAGTAAAGCCATGTTGAACTAATTGACGTTGTAACATCCGTAAATCACGGTTTGTTTCCGGGAAGCATTATAATGGAATATCATTTTCTTAAAACGTAAATTAATGGGTTTTTAAGTACCAATCATGGTTAAGTGTAACACACACATTTATTCATTTTTTTCTCTCTGTTGTTTCCCATTTATATATTTTCTTAGGTAAGATTCTCATTGTTTTTGTTTAAACTTTAAGGTAAAAAAGATATTCCACTACAATAGTAACACAATCGAAGTCACAATGTTCTTTTTTTTTCTATTGTAGAAATTGTAAGTAGTAAGTAATCTGAAATTTTATTACCAGATTTGATTATAAATTTTCGGAATCCCCCGTGGAGCAAAAGGTTCCATCATTCCATGATCTCGTAGATGGGGATGCAAGAAAATTGCCGGAGAGCGAGTCAATCGAGAAAACAAGATTAGGGTTTTGAGAAGAAGCGGAAAAGAATATGTAGTGAGATTCAAGGGGACCATTCAAAAGCTCATAGCATTCGCAGAAACCATCTGTTCTTTAACGGGACGTTTAACAAAAGGGCGAGAAGAATAAACATCAAACTCAAGCTTCGAGGAGGTTTCCGATCGACAACTGTGAAGATGGAGTTATGAACTGGATAAGAAGAAGAAGAAGAGACATTTTCTTTCAATGTCAAATTGGTGGTTGCTGGTTGTATATTGCATGGATAATAATGGATGGTTTAAGCGCAATTTCAAATTGAGACAAAATATTGTTAAAAACTTAAAACGGACAAAGAGACGTGGACAACATGTTACACTGTTCTCTCCAAAAAAATTGTCCATGACAAATCGATTTATAAAAGTGAAAAATGTATCTGAATAAAAGAAAGAATTTCACATTAATGAATTAGAAACTAAACCTCAAAACAAAACTTAAAACTCAAAACAGTCTCATTAATATCAGATTCTCGTTGTGCTACCACATGATCCAACTTCCCATTGCTCTTCTTTTGGTTGAGAATCATAGATAGCTCTCATCACAAAAAACATGTATCGTGTAGTGTTGTAGCCAAATAAGTCAGAGCTTCATTGATGCAAACGTTGCACCCAAATCAAAGTTGCGTTCACTTGAGAAGCATTTGTTTCCTGAAACCAATAAAGACTTTCAGTTAAGCAATCTGAGAAACCTGTTAAGAGTCTTTCACTTGTCTTCTGGTAATTATTACTAATCACTTGCATAGTCTAGTAGAAACACAAAAGATTTAATAGTCTATACAACACAAAGAAGATCATTGTAGAGGAACTATAGATATACTCAGAGAGAAAGTGGTGGATACTGACCATTGGCTTATCATATAAGGAGAAACTTTGCATCTGACGTTACATAATCCAAGCTTGTTCTCAGGTATATGGTGGAGAGAAAGAAGGGTTTATTAATTCCTCATTGCCCACTGCATTGCTGCTGCTGATATATTTGTTGCCACCATGTAAATATCCTGTAAAAGCTTTGTGCAACACAAATTTTATCATACAAAACCTATGTCACGTAGTCAGGTTGGAGGATATGGTTGTTCTGTTTTGTTTTGCTTAGAAAATTTCAACAATATAACTAGACAAATCAGTTCACAATCTGTCAAAAAAATTCTAAGCAAAACAAAACAGAACAACCCAAGTTCTCAAACTCCATAGCTTAGCTAAAACCATCCAATTCCTTGCTAATAGTATCCACGAAAGAAAGATCCAAACAGAGATATAGAGCATCGACAGAAATAGTATCCTAATATTGTCTAGGTTTAAACTGTGAATCATAACCACCCAAAAAGAACAAATCGACAGAGTATCTTGGACACACGAACCAATTTAGCACAAAACCCAGATTTCAAATTTGATTCTTGATGAAATCAAATCAACTATGGAACCAATTTAGAGATGTTCGTATGCTAATTGCAGACAGAATACAGAACAAACTAATTTCAAACGGAAGTACAAAGAAGGTTTTACTGGGACTTAAAAATTCGGGAGAGAGAGACGAAATCGAGAGAGGGAGAAGAGTTAATTCGTTCGGTGGAGAAACTCAGCGGAATCTGAGATTGTGATTCGGTGACGGTGAGGGATTAAGGTTTGCGGCGAGTCCGCGAAAGGTCATGAGAGAAGAAGGGAGAAGATGGAAAAAAAAAAAAGCAACTGTCGTAAAAGGTAAAAGTAAAAGATAGAGGGTATCTCTGTAAATTCCCTTGGGCCGGCCCAATCCTTTTGGGCGCCTAAAGCGAAATATATATATTCTGCATTGAACCACCATGCTACAGTTAAAAGTCACAATTATGGCGCCCAAAATCTTTTATAATCTCTTGGCGCCTAAAGCATAATGCTTTATGTGCTATAGGTCAATATCTCCATATTCCGTAAAAGGAAACATTGAGCCGTGAGCTAATCTCTTGTCTCTTGTAGAGCGAGACCTTCTCATGTTGAAGAGGTACTAAATCCGAACCCTTGATGATCCCAAATTGTGTTTAATGTTTTCTATCTCTACCTCAAGGGTCATAGAATCAGTTTTGTTACTTTGCATATGAGTTAGGGTTATCTCTATCTTTTAGTCGGATGCTTTTTCACTAAGTAGAAATCTCGAAGCTCCTTTGTTTAGGAGTTCATTTATGGTTTTAGCTAGTGATATAGCTTGAATTCTATATGGCTTTTTTCTGTGTATCTAATTGTTGCAATGCCTCTGTATCTAGTTCTTGCAATACCTCTGACTCTGTAGCTAATGTTGTCTCTTTTAGTTTCGGGGATGTCCGTTTTCTGCGGACGTTGGAAGCAGTGATTCTTGAAGTGAAGGACCGTGACGGTGACGATAAGTAAATCATTATTTTGATCAATCGCAAAAGATGAAATATATATTGTCATAATACTTACTCATATTAATGAGAATATGCTTCCCAAAAAGATGCACCGAAGACAACAATCCATAGACAGACAAACCATAGTGGTTACCATGCCATTATTTGTTTATGTAAGACAATTTATTTATATTTTGCTTATATTATTTTTATATTGTGCTAATATTTTGCTTATTTTTGTTATTTTTTTCCTGGTCTATTTTTAGTAAATAAATAAATAATAATTTGTGGCTGGCGAGTTGGACGAGAATTTAGGCAAGACTGATGACGTTTCTGTAGGAAAATTCAATTTCTTGGCGATTCCCTTGGCAGTCCTGGATGTTTGTTTGATCTTGTGGATCTTCGTAGCTTTGGCGAGGACAGATATACTAAAGGTAAGACACTGAAGTTTGATTTCATTTCTTCCGAAGTTTTTGCTTTTAGCTGATTATATGTCTTATATTCACACTGCAGGTGAGATACATGGCTCAGCTTAGGCTTTTTGTGAAGTTCACCAACACACTAGCTTAGGTTCGGGTCCTGAAACTTCACTTAAGTATTGTATCATGATGTCTTTGTGTATAGGAAATTAGATAGCTTTAGTTACAGAGTGAAGATATATTCTTCTTTGAGTAAATTAAATTATATTTAATTTATTTATTTTAGAAAAAAATTGAAAACTATATTTATATTCAATTTTATAATTTCGTAATTTATTTTATCATTAATATATTATTCATTAATAAATATTTAATGACATTAAAATTTTGGGCTTTGGGACTTCGAAAGATTCAATCCATGAGTACAATGATCAAATTTTCTCTGTCCGCGGAAACATTCTCTTCTACCATGCGGCAGTGAAGGTCTATATGCTTCTAAGATCGATGATCTCTCTTTTATCAGGTACTCTCATCACCTTTAGTTTCATGATTCTTTGGAACGATTTGAGTAGGTACATTGCTTTTTAAGTATAGGCCGACTGAGCATACATCATATGTCATCTTTATGTAAGAAAATTGCTTATATTTTGCTTATAATTTTTTTATATTGTGCAAATATTTTGCTTGTTTTTGTTATTTTTTTTATGGCCTATTGTGTATTGGAAATTAGATAGCTTTAGTTACAGAGCGAAGATAGATTCTTCTTTAAGTAAATATGTGAGGAGATGTCATGATGTTTTAATGGTTATGCAGGGTCTCGTACAGTCGGGTCATTGAAGTTGAGATGTCCTGACTTGACCATATCATTGTGGCACCAGGAGTTGATGGGCTAGACTGTTTGCTTTAGACTTGTCTCAGTAGAGTCTATTGTTACCGAATTTCGGCTTGATGCAATAATCAGATAAACTTGACACATTTTATCTGCATTCACATTTCATTATAAGAATTGATTTTTATTCATTAGTTGTAGACATCTAGTAAAGTAAGCTAACGAAAAGAGTTTTAATAAGTAAGGAAGAATATTCGAGAAGACTCAACTTATTATCGGTAATTTTGGTAGAAACAATCCAAGATAAAGTATAGAAGAATCTCCGAAAAATTGGAAATTTCATGCGTTATATTAGGATGTAAAAATGGATAATAAAATCGCAGAGGTTGGGCAAACAAAAATAAATAAAAGTGTACGATGTTGTTAACAAAAATAAATAAAAGTGTACGGTGTTGTTCACAAAAATCACCCGAAAACCGCAAATAAGAACAAATCCAAAATACCAAGAGGCTATGGGACGACATTAGAGAAATGGTGAACGATGGATGGTTCTTCGCTCAGTCCTCGTGGAGAAAGGCAAATGATTTTTTTAACACATTGCAGTGTATGATATCATTTCATAACAAAGGTTGGTGTAACATATATATCATGTTAAATAGTCTTTCAAATTTAGTTGTTTTACTAGATAGTGTGGACCAGACATAACCTAGTGATTTAAACTAATTAACGTTATAATTATGTCATTATCTCGATTCAAACACACGTAAAACATATTCATGACAAAAAAAGAAGTAAATAAGGTATAACTTTTTTTTTGGTAAAATGTGAAGATGTAAATAAGGTATATTTTTATCATTTTGTTGATGTTTTCTGTTTGATATATGTATGCTAATATAACTTGTGCATGTAATTTAACGTAAATAATAGTCTATTTTAAACACAAAGATTTATGTCATACATCACAAACAAAAGTAAGTTATTTCTAACCCAACAAAGAACAAAGTGTAAAATGTTATTTTTAGTTGCAGGTGTTTTATTCGAAAATAGCAAGACACGATTTCTCTCTCTTTAGATCCAATTCTGATTTTGATATGAACTGCTACTTGCAATTCATAGACAGAATCTTCCATTTGAAGGAAATCATTTTGATCTTTCAATTATCTTTTCGCTTTTGTATTTTCTTAATAACTTTGAATTTCCTTCATATTTATTCGTTTTTTTTCGGAAACGAAAGAACAAAGGAAAAGGACAAAACTAGACTACAAGCGTGGGGCGGCTCTCTTGCCGTGTCCTTGGCACGATATCTAGAAGAGTCGTATTGATCTTGAGTTCTGCGTTGACCTTCTAATGTTAAAAATTAAAAATACAAAAAGAGATAAATTGGGGAGTCAACTTTACCTAAAAAAATGTTAAACTTATAAGAAGACCGATACTTACACTGGTCAACCACTAATCAGTAGCCACATAACCAAAGAGATACGTTTTGATTGTGCTTCGTACATTTATAGCCGGTCAAAGGATTATAAGACAATTACAGATTTATAACTCTTTTTTTTTTTTTTTTTTCACATCTTTCATCAAACTAAAAAAACTCTAAAATTATAAGTTTATGAATGAATCCGAAAGATAACATTTCATTTCATTTGTCATATCTTTAAACAAATGGCAGGATTTCCAACCCATCAAAAAAATATTGAAGATATGAATAATTCCATGTTTTCAGTCATATGAGTTTTGACTTCTTAACTTGGTACATTTATCTACCGGGAATATAACAAACATAATATTTTATGGCACTAATTCATATTTCGTGGCTCAGTACAATGCAGTAATTTGTAAACTCATATGAAATGGTATTTATACATTTCTTGATAACGCATTATGCTTTTAGATTAATGAAACTAACTAAAATTGTAACGACTCCTTAATATGACCTTGACGCAAAAATCTTCTAGTGGTCGTAAATGGACATGATATAGGTAAACTATATGAATGAAAGGCCAAAGGGTATATAATATATGTATGCATTATAAGTAAGCTATTGTCTTTAACAAAAAAAGATAAGCTAGTTGAATTTTACTGAGAAATTACTACATTTTGCTAAACTATATAATTATACACATAAGTTAATTGATATCATAAGTCACATGTAAATGCAAAGTACAAGCATTGTCATAGAGATGTCATAAGCCACTACGCAAAAGCCCTTGATATTGCTCTGGAGAATGGCACACGATAACTTGAAATAGATAAAATTACCTAATGAAACATTGTACGTGTCGATCTCTGTTTCTCATATAAAAGACTGAAATTAATTACGTCAAAAAGACTTACTATATGGTCTAAATATACAAGAGCGGACTAATCAATTCAAAGCGCTTGCTTGTTATATAGTATTCTTTTCTTTTTTTTTTTTTAATATGAAAAGCCATTTTTTCTGTTAATATTCATGGAGTTCACTACCCCACGTGTCTGTCAGGGCCATGATGATTTTTTGATCGTATCATCGTTTTGTAATTGTGCAAAAAGAACATTCTTTTTTGTAATCTTCTGCATATTTCATCCTTTCGTCACCATGACATCCTTCACAGAAAAAAAATTGCATTCTCTTAAAAATAAGAACTATTAATACTACTGATATACATGTACGCAGAAATGACATTTCATGGGAGAAATGCACATTGAGCTTGTCCGTATAAAATGTAATTGTTCAGTGACTTAACTTCATCACTAAATAAAGCAGAAATTATGTGCTCTAACTTTTGGTTTTTTGGTATAAATTAAGAAATTCTTGCAGTGTTACAAATCAAAGTCAAATTTTCTTAAATTTGAATGTATAGTTATTTCTCAAAATTAAATGTTGCTTGCTTTAACAAAAAGACGAGGATACGGATAACATTTTGTTATATGAGACATTTAAATAACTTTTTTTTTTATTGGAGGAAGTGTTTAAGTCGAGTAGTTTAAAGTTCACCTATGCAGCTTTTCTTTACTTGAGTTCGACTACATCTCTCTACAAAGGGTTGAGAAAATGGCTCAATAGACTGCTGATTAAGAAAAATAAATGATTGTGTTAAAATAATCATATTATTTTTATTGTTTCTTACTCCCTCCGTTTTTTTAATGAATTTTCTAGTCATTATGTGTTGTTTCACAAAGATAAATTTTTTACCTTTTTGATGCACTTTTTCAGTTTTCAAGATACAATGATTATATTTGTTGAATTTTTATTGGTTTAAAATTATAAAAAGTTGTTTTATTGCAGAAATCTATGCACTAATGATTGAAAATCAACTTTTTCTTAATCTGTGTGAAAAAATTAGAAAATTTATCTTATTTCATATTGTACCAGCTGGAATCGTTCTAAGCTGTAGTATTATTTTCCAACTTATGTGAACTACATGAAAATAATAATTACTTGTGAGTGCTCGTGCGTCCGAGAAACGGCGTAAACGTTACTTACGTGTTAATATGTTGTAATCATAAACAAAACCAAAATAAAAAATACAGAGAAACTTTGCTTTGCAAATATTATAAATTTCAATATTGGCAGAAAAATTTGTTAAGAGAAATGATGATTTGGGAGTTTGAAGAAAAGAATGAGTCGCTGACACTTATCCGACTATCTGCGCCAAACAAAGTATCCACTCATATTTGCCGTGTGGGTCCTTTTTTTTGACTACTTGTCGTTTTCCTTCACCTACTTTAAAATTTCATACATGTTCAATTGTTCATATTGCAACTATACATATACTAATATACGTGTGTCTATGTATATATTGTGTATCATTGTATTTATTTATGTATAATAGCAATATCACATACGTATATTGGAGCGTTAATGGTCTTTTCTTCGTCAGCTAAGTTCGTCTTAAAAATAGAGTGCATGAATCTCATTGTTCGTAATCAGTTTCTACCCTTACGTCAAAAAAAAACTATTACTTGCATTAGAAAAATAAGGAAATATGGTAGATTTCAAAAGTATTAATGATAAAAATCAAAATGTCGATCGAGAAAAGTCTAGAGAAGTGACGGTCTATGGATCGATGGGATCGACCAAGACCGTTAAAAAGAACAACCGATGGTCTGACAAAGATTCTTCGGATCTAGTTTATGTTGTCAATTTGTCATACGATAGTCATGAGTTTTGACACATTTAACGTTCAAAACCTAGCATAATATTAAATTTGTTTTATCCAAAATGAACTTAAACTAAACAAGTGGGTTCATAAAAGAAGAAGAAAAGGTTAACTGAGAGGAACTTTGGTCTACTTTTTGGATTAGTGAGAGATACATTATCGGCGGAACAAACTCATGGGCTTAAGCAATTTGATCGAATTGGTTTTGACACTCTCTAGCTTATATTAAAAATTAATTTTATCTGCTTGATAAAATCTTGCTAGTCGTATGGATCTGACCTAACTAAGTCTATTTTTCAGCGCTTCTAAACTCTTCAAGTCAATGCATTGTATCGCAGAGAGAGACCACTTAGCATTTTTAAAAAGTTAATTATTATTTGTCAACATGATTAGACCAAGTCTTAGTTTTGTGCTCAGTGACCATTATCCAACACAATAACATCAGTTTCGTTTGATTTTTATTTTCTTCGTAAGATAGTGAAAATGATGTTATTTTCTCTATCAAAACAAAAATGATGATATTTTATATTTTTAACAACACATCTAGCGTTGGTATAACACGGTTCAACAATACTCTATATTTTCTCTATCAAAACAAAAATGATGATATTTCCTATTTTTAACAACACATCTAGCGTTGGTATAACACGGTTCAACAAATACTATATATTTTCTCTATCAAAACAAAAATGATGATATTTCCTATTTTTAAGAACACATCTAGCGTTGGTATAATACGGTTCAACAAATACTATATATTTTAGCTATTAAGATTAACACAATAAGGATCAAAATGAGATATATACGAATATTATATACATTATTTGTTGGATGCAAATCGGAAATCTATGTATATTTATAGATAGAACTCCTTTTTATTTTGTCTGGACGGTGACACAACGGTTCACTATGATTCGAGCAGCATGGCATAAAGAACATAATACTATTATCAAGTTTAACAAATCTTATATAATTTTTAATATATGTGGCTCTCGCATCAAATGGAAATAATATATACTTAAGAAACAGGGGAACAAAACAAAACTATGACTTGTAATTAGCAAAGTGCAATAATTGATTGACTTATCAAATTTATTAGAAGAATAAAATATTTACGGAATTTAGAAAAGCTACTTGAAAAGAATATGGACCGTTTGGTATAAAGAGATTGGGAGAAAAAAGTCGCAAACACAATAGGTCCAGAAACGGTGACGTGACACACAGATCAAAACTCAGCATCGATCGACGATCGTCATCATATACCATTTATCCCTTTAGTCTCAAGCCACGAGAACAATTCTTATTTTATAGGCTGCCTATTTTATACTACTAATTTACTCATGAAAATCTATTCGACAAATACATAAATCGAGATATTTTTTTTTCTTATATCTAAACTTTAGAATCGTCGTAGTGATCTATATGTGTATTAAGTAAAGAAATTAATTACTGAAAAATAATAATATCATCATTGAATGCACGTTATTTTTTTAATTTGTTGGTGTTTAAGTTTTTGATAACATTTGTATGAACTCATGTATGTAGATTCTAAAATATTTGTATTTTATTTTCTGAAGTTTTTTGGCATTCATTTTAAATGATTTTATATACATTTCTTTTTTCTTATAAGTTGCTAAGTTTTCAACAACGCCATGTTTAGAATTATGAAAGTATTTAAAAATTTAATTGAATAACACCAATAAAAATTCGAAGTATGATTTACAAACATTCTTTTATTAACTGATTTAATCAAAATCGTGACAAGCTTTCTGCTTCCTACCACTTAGTAAACTATCGATTTTAAGAATTTTGATGTAAGCCAATCTTAGGTTACCGTTAGATATAATCTCTAATAAATATTATCCCTTTTTTGGCATCTTGCATAATACTACCAAACACTTATCTAATCTCAAATTAAATATATACTTAATTAAACTAAGAGGATATATAATCGCCTCTTAGAAAAGCTAAGCAGCAAAGAAACAAATCTCACATAGACAGTTGTTCTTAGAATAATAGAAGAAAATGAAGGGATTAGCTAGGAACACTCTATTATTACATCTTACTTTCAAATAAAATATTAACCTTGGAGAATAAATAATTCATTTTTTTTTTTTTTTTTTTTTAAATCACTTGGGAATGTTATGATGATACAGTTTTTGTCTAAAACTGTATGAAATGTCAACTAAATTCCGGGTAATTTCCACACACACACTTGTCCGTACTTGCCTATATAAACATACACACCTTCATAAAAGATATATCAAATTTTCACCTTAATGCTCTTCATATCACATACCACACACTCATATAAACTCTTGACCTTTGTCTAACAACGATCTCGGAGTAAGCATATATTGAAAATTTCTGATTCTTTTGATATATATGGCTGAGGAGTTTCAGGCGACGGCAGCAATTTGCGGCGGCAGAGGCGGTGCGTGGTGGAACTCGCCGAGGAGCGTTATGTCTCCTTCGGATCACTTCTTGTCGCCTTGTTTCGGAGCTGCAATCACTTCCGATGATTTTGGCTCTAATGAGAATAACATCAAAAATAGGATGACTTGTACAGACAACAACATCGTTTTCCGACAGCGAGAGGCGGATTCCGACAGTGGAGGAAGCACCGTGACGATTGACTCGACGTTGCAAATGATGGGTCTAGGGTTTTCCTCAAACTCTTCTTCAGATTGGAACCAAACCATTTTGTAAATTTCTATAGAAAAAAACCCTAACTTTACTTTCTTGATGAAACTGAAAATATTCAATAATATTCATGAGATAATTTCTTTGTGCTTTTCAGACAAGAAGACTTAAACTCAAGCTTCATAAGGAGCTCGCAAGATCAAGATCATGGCCAAGGATTCTTATCCACAACTACTTCACCTTATCTTCTAAATCCAGCTTGTTCTTCATCTTCATCAACTTCTTCTTCCTCGAGCTTGTTAAGAACCTTTTATGATCCCGAACCCAGTCCGTACAACCTTGTCTCCACCACAAGTTGTTCAATCAATGATCCTCAACTCTCTTGGGCTCATAACACAAATCCTCATCATCAAGCTCCTTATGGACTAATTAACAACTTCTCTAACAACACAAACTCTCGACCCTTTTGGAGTTCTTCATCGACCACTAACTTAAACAGCATGACGCCGAACAATTTCTTAACCACTCCTCAAATAATTTCTACTCGTCTTGAGGACAAAACCAAGGTAATTAATCACATATATGTCCAAATTTGCTGATATTTTAATTAGATTTCTTGGTGGATAAAATGGATTGTAAATGTAACAGGTGAGAAAAGAGAATCTGAGGGACCAGATTACTTCATTACAACAGCTAGTTTCACCTTTCGGAAAGGTGAATGATTTATGTGTTTATTCTATTTATTTGGCTTATAATATACACAAACAAAAGTATTGTTGTTAGGATTTGTACTGAGCTTCTTTGTTTTTGTCTGTCTTTGGGTTAATGTTCAGACAGATACTGCGTCTGTTCTCCAAGAAGCTATAGAGTACATCAAGTTCCTTCACGACCAAGTCACTGTACGTTTCTAATAATCTAGTATTTAATATTTTTATTCGAGAAACCCTAGTTTTATCATATAATAAGCATATTAATGTTAATTTTTAACTACAGGTTCTAAGCACTCCATACATGAAACAAGGAGCCTCGATCCAACAACAACAACAACAGGTTTATACTTACTTGATTTAGTGTTTGATTTTAGTCAAGTGATAATATTTTCTGTTTGGAATCTTGATGTTTAATTAAGTATGGATTCATTATCTATATGCAGATTTCTGGCAAATCAAAGAATCAAGATGGAAACGAGAATCAAGAACTAAGAGCACACGGCTTATGTCTCGTCCCGATATCAAGCACGTTTCCGGTGGCTAATGAAACAACCGCCGATTTTTGGACACCAACTTTCGGGGGCAACAATTTCAGGTAGAAAAGATGAACGTATATTATACGGTTCTTTAAGCTAGCATCAAGATACTAATTAATCAATGGTTAAAATAATAATATTAAAAAATAATAGAAAATTCGCAAGTCATGATCATAGATTGAATCATTACTTGGAGAAAAAGTAGAGATGGAAGAAGAAGATGACTCTTCAAAGGTGGGCAGAGGCAACAATGGTGTTGGAGGGGACCAACTACAAAAGCAAAAATGATTTAGGGCTTAGAAAAAAATGAATTTAACTATCATTAATTAATAAGTTTTATTTTAGAAAAATAAGGAATTGTATACTTTAAATTATAATAGTGTTAAATATGTAATAATTAAGCTAAATTTGTTTTAAATTGTATATGTAGGTGATTAGAGAGAGAAGGTTATGGTTGTCAAGACGGATGGGAACATATGCTAAATTCAGCTTGAAGACTCTATAGCATGATGACAATAATTTTAATGTATTTTCTTCTTCTTTCTTTTTTTGTCTTTTGGTTCAGTAGTTCGTAGGGGGTTGATTGCTGAATTTAGCAGATATGGGTTGTTTTTATGTTGAAGAACCTTTTGTTCCTGTCCTTGTTCTTGAATATATAAATATACATGTTTTTTCCGTTGGTGCCATCTTTTGTTAATCACTTATCTTAGATGGTTGATATCATGAAGTGCTTAATGGTTTCTGATTTAATTTATATGATTATGAATACTATATTCATGTACAGTGCATCAAGTGCCATGATAATAAAATATCAATACATTAAACTCTATGCATGTACTACTATAACATATAACAAAAGTACTACTATTTTTTTCGTGTTAATATCATAACGAATTATAAGATATAAACAAGAGCTGTCTTTCAGGTTTTTTTTTGTCAGATCGAATCGATCAGCTCAAATATCATACTGATCATATCGATAGTTTATAATCTTTAACTCTAGATAAAAATAAAATAATATATACTTTCATGAAACAAAAAGGTTATTAAACCAGTGATAAAACTGACATAAATTTATTATATGTTATAGTAGTACATGCATAGAAATGTTTGGGAGACAAATAGGATAAACAAGAGCTGTCTTTCAGGTTTTTTTTTGTCAGATCGAATCGATCAGCTCAAATATCATACTGATCATATCGATAGTTTATAATCTTTAACTCTAGATAAAAATAAAATAATATATACTTTCATGAAACAAAAAGGTTATTAAACCAGTGATAAAACTGACATAAATTTATTATATGTTATAGTAGTACATGCATAGAAATGTTTGGGAGACAAATAGGATCAATCGACTTTTTTTTTTCTTTTTTTCAGAAATCCTGATTTAAATTTATGATAAAAATGTATATATGTTCGTACATATCCATTTATAAATGTGTGTCTCTGGATTGAACTTTTTATTCGTTCGATTGGAACTATATATTATGAAAATTCGGTAGTGGAAGCCAGTAGACAAACGGCCCACTGCTTCTTACTTTATGATTTGAATATACAGATATGGTTTAGTACATATGCCGTTAAAACTATACCAATTTGACATTCAACATCATTCATGTTTCAAGAAAAATATTATTCAAATCTTATTATAAAAGACATGTATGTGTCTAATCTATCAAATGTCACATAATATATATGCGAGAGAGAACTGAATTCTTACTAAGATCTCAAACCCGATTAAATACTATCAATGGGTCCCATGCATGTTTAACAAAACAAAAGAAGTCTCATGCATGCATGACTAGCGGAAGGTTATTTGAATTAAGTAAAATCATGCATGTGTAAAAATATATCGTAGTACGTATTTTTACAATGTTTTTCATTTCTTTTCTTGGATTGTGCCTTTTCTTGGATTCTCCAAATTCTAAACCACAGAACATAGCATGTAGAGCCAGCCAGTATTCAAGATTCTAAAAAGTGAAAACGGTGTTAGGCGGGCCATATCTCTAAGCACGCTTTCGTGACTCGTGTGTTGTGTAATGGCGAAAAGTAAACTTCACAACATATGATATGGATGGGTTACGAAGCTTGCGTTCAAACATTCTGCCGTCGTCTTTCACTTCTTTACAACATGGAAGATGAATCTTTCTATGCTATTTGGAAACAACGCCATGTCAGGTTGCACACGGCCAAGTCAAGGCAACGATATCAGTTTGGGAATTTAACTAAAAAGTTTAACATGTAACTTAGATTCATGTAAATCAGTAGCCAAGTTTGTGAGTTTAATGACAGTCAACAAAGAAAAATGTTAAGAGTACAATTATCTTTGGTGGCTAGTTTAGTGTAACCTATCAAATAAAAAAAATCATTGGTATAAAATTATATATAATATTATTACAGATGAGAAAAATAGCATAAATTTGGAATATAATTCAAATTAAAATTAATTAACTTCTACAGAGAATTCAAATCAGTAGTTTCAACTGTGGATCGATTAGAATCAATTTGGTAATAGAGTTTGACAAGCTATGCCTGCGCCAAAAGAAAAAAAAAGATCATATAAAATATAATGTAAAACTGAATATAAAAGCTAAAAGAAAACATTATGGGCATAATTTTAGTCATTCAGATGTACAATAAAGGACGAACAAGTTTCATCTTTTTCTGCTTTATGTGAAAACAAGTTCTTAGTGTCTTCAGCTATAAGCTTTGTTTGATTGAAGCTTAAAAGCCTTATTCCTTTTTTCTGTAAATAAACAATAAAACATATTGATTCTAAATTTTGTTAAGCTTTCGAGAATCCCAAAGACACACGTCTTATTTTCCTCCAGACGGTTTACTTATTCGTCTACTTTTCATGATATGCGTTTTCTACATGTTCTTGTTAATTTGTACTAGTATCGGTGGGCAGCTCATTATCCAAGTTCAAATTCAGTAGAGTTTGTCCATTTGTAATATACTAACAATAAAAGAAATATTCCAAAATCATATTGAAAGTTTAAAACTGATTTATAAAATGAATATTGAGAAGTTCGTTACACGCTTGTGTAGTAGCTCCAAGTTCAGTTCAATGCATTAAATACTTTCGTTAATTCTACTAAAAAATATATTATCTTTACGATAGGAAAAAAGTAGAAGACAATATACATAAAATGATTGGTAGATAAAAGTCCTCAGACTCATCCTTAGTCGTTTATACGACAGGCCCATAAGGCCCAAATCATTATTTAGTAATTGAAATTTGAAATGGATATCAAGAACATCTACTCCAAGTTTACACTTTACAGGATCAATTAGAATCATATCAAAAATGGGAGGGAAAGAAAATATTTTTTTTCGAACGTTGACGGGATATTTGTTATTTGCATTGCCTTTTCATTTCTGAGTAAATTAGTTCGATGTTTTTTTTTTTTTAAATGGTTATGTGATTTCATTGTAGCACAAATTCACTTTTGCTTAGTGAACATAAGCATGAATATAAAATATTTTACGTATGTATGTAGTTCTTTGTTGAGTTTTCCATTTATGCCACAGGCGGTCAATAAAGAAGAAAAGGATGAAAGAGAGTACGACGAAACAAGTTATATGACACAGTTTCAGAAGTTTATCAGTCTAAAAAGATCTGGTGAGAGCTTTTTTTTAAACTGTAGACTTGACATTACCAAATACAAGTACTGACACTCTAATTCTAGATACACTAATCTCAAATGATGGAGACAAATCACAGCCACGTATGTTATATGATCATACGCCTCTGCCATTGAATGAAGATGACTTTGAGAGGGTTAGCAAGATTCCAACAATGAAGGTAACAGAAAGATATACAATATGGGTTATAGTATTATATTTCAAGCAATCAATTTTGTAATTTTATTTGTTCATGTCTATTATACCATTCTTATTGCTCATAGGGTGCCAATTTCAAAGACTTGGAGGGTTTAATAGTTGATGAGACTAATTTGATACAACTTGACCCTTCTGATAAAAGAGCAAAAGTGAAGTCTGGAAAGTCTCTGGTACATACAAATCCATGCACACGCGTTATTATTAGTTTTTTTTTTCTTGCAGCTTTTTCATGACAAGTCTTCTGACTATTTCCCCTAGATTCCGGAATACGCGATGAAATATGTGACAGACAAAAATCCAAAGTAATGTTCACTAATTATATATGTTTGTCATGGAGTCCATCAGATTGACCTTTACTCTTGAAACTGATCGTGTCGCTATATGAAACTCAGGCCATTTGGTAGGTTATGGTGTTAACACGGTGCTAACAAGGGCAGAGCCCCATAATCAGGTTTTGTATTCTTCTATATGCATATTTTATCTGTTCTTGGTCTCTATCTCTGTGGATTGAAACCGGTTTTTTACAGCGTATACTTCACCCAGAGCAACACCGTGTTCTCACAGTCCGCGAAAACGCAAGACTACAAGGATTTCCTGATTTTTATAAGCTATTTGGCCCTATAAAGGAAAAGTGAGTCCCAAATGTTCTTCTTGAGTCGCATAATCATGTTTCTCTCTGTTTTGTGATTCTGACAATGAACTTGATGAATGTTTAAAGGTACACTCAAGTTGGGAATGCTGTTGCAGTGTTGCTTTAGGATGTGCCTTGGGTTACACGTATGGCATGACGTTTCGAGGGTTGTGTGATGGTAAGCCTTACATAAAGCTCCCTTTCAAGTATCCTGAATGTCTCCAGAGAAAGAAAGCTTCACTAGAAAGAGAAAAATCTCCTTAAAACAGATGATTATGCAGATTGGGCGAAGTTTAAATAAGTTAGGTCTTGTTTTTCTTTTCTCATATTCTTTAGGAGAATGCAAGAAAATTGTTCTGATCTATTAAAACCATATTCTTTGATTTTGATTATTTATATAAGACTATGATTCTATGATTAAATTCATTGATGAAGTTTTACCTTATAAGTTTAGAGCAAAACACCGAGTTAGAAGAGAAGACCTGCTGAATTTCTTCTATTTTTATGGATTAATATAAAACTTGAAACTTGAAATCTTCTCCCTTTTCTTACTATTGCTCATCTGATTTCTTTAGATTTTGAATCAAACACCAAAGATTATCTTCTTTCTTGAGTGTCAAACACACTTTCTTCTCAAGCAAGATTCCTATTATCACTTGATTTATTAATCTATTACAAATTTAAGAGCAATGAAATGATTCTACAACGGGCAATTCGTCTTTCAAGGTTCCACGACCGACAGAACCTTTAAACTCATGAAATATACTTTTCAAACTAATGAACCATTGATCAACTATTGGGCAAGAGGCTTTCACAAAAGCTAGATTCCTTTAAAGCCCTCTTTTTTTTTTTTTTTTCTCAAAATGCAAGTCAACGAATAATATTCAGCAAACAAATTTACACGACAAAATTTTCAATAAATTATTGGAGTTGAAATTTTTTTAAAGGAGTTGG